GGGTTAAGGAAGCGGGGGAGGGGGCGGTGACACCGTTGGTGACAAGGAAATCAAGTCAACGTGAACGGGAGGAACTGAAACTGAAGAGGAAGGACGGAGACAAAGCTGAGGCGGTTTCTGAGGGTGACAAAAAACTTGCCGGGTTTTCTTAGAAAACATCAACAAACACCTGGGTAAAGTGATGGTCAATGGGTCCCACAATCCCAGGCTGGTTTGGGTTGGAAGGAGCATGAAGTATGAAGCTCATCCAGATCCAACCTCCCTGCATGGGCAGGGACACCTCCCACCAGCCCAGGTGGCTCCAAGCCCCATCCAACCTGCCCTTCAACACTGCCAGGGATGGGGCAGCCACAGCTTCCCTGGGCAACCTGGGCCAGGCTCTCACCACCCTCACACCCAAGAATTCCCTCCTCATCTCCAACCTCCATCTCCCTCTCCCACTTTCCATCCCTTCCCCTCATCCCATCCCTCCCTGCCCTTGTCCCAAGTCCCTCCCCAGCTTTCCTGGAGCCCCTTCAGGCCCTGGAAGCTGCTCTAAGGTCTCCCTGGAGCCTTCTCTTCTCCAGGCTCAACACCCCAACTCTCCCAGCCTGGCTCCAGAGCTGCTCCAGCCCTCCCAGCATCTCTGGGGCCTCCTCTGGACTCTCTCCATGAGCTCCATGTCCTTCTGGTGTTGCCCTTATCTCATCGTTAATTAATCATGACCGAATCACTCTTGGTCACCCACCTTGAGGAGGTTGCTGGGGTGGTGGGACACTCCCTGGGTGTCCCCTCCTCCACTTCCCACTCGCTGCCACCACCAGGTGTCCCCACAGAGACACCCCCCAAGTGTTCATGAACTTCCTGCTGCTCATCGTGGGCTGGGAAGGACTGGTGGCATCTGCCAACCCCTGGAGAGCTGTCCCCATGTCCAGCTGTCCCCATGTCCAGCTGTCCCCATGTAGAACTGTCCCCATGTCCAACTGTCCCCATGTCCAACTGTCCCCATGTCCAGCTGTCCCCACATTGAGCTGTCCCCATGTCAAGCTGTCCCCATGCAGAACTGGGCCATGTCCAACTGTCCCCACCTCGAGCTGTCCCCATGTCCAACTGTCCCCATGTCCAGCTGTCCCCACCTCGAGCTGTCCCCACGCACGTGGACACTTGCCCACGGACACTCATCCCATCCCCCCCACCTCGAGCTGTCCCCACGCACGTGGACACTTGCCCACGGACACTCATCCCATCCCCCCTGCCCTGCTGCTCACCCCACTCCCGTCCCTCCCACCATCTCCCCCTCACTTCTCACTGCCCTGCACCCCAACATGACACCCCCCAGCCCCCGCAAGGACCCGGCTGTCCTGCCCA